AAATCATTAGTCGGAAGCAATGCTATAGACAGTTGAAAGTTGCGTTGAAAGATCTCTGATCGATTGGTGATAAAATTATTAAAATTGGTCCAGGAGCAGCTGAGTTATTAATGTTCAAAATATTTCATAATTTTGTTTCATGCTCCATTTTTGGTTTTCACAAAGTTTACCCCCAGTATAGAAATGAAAGACGTAGTTCTACGTCAAAATTGTTCGATGCATATGATCAAATCTCAAAGATTACTGAGTTATTGAACATTTTCTGTTTTGGTCTATGCTTGCCATAAATTGGCTCTAACTAAACTATGCCATTTAGCATAAAACTCTTGCTTTCATTGGACAGCTTGGTAAATTTCCTACTTTAAAGTGTCATTACTACTTCAAGTAAGCTGCATTTAGAAACATTTTAGGGATAAATAAGTCTAAAACTTGTGTTTTCCTACGGGTTTGCCTTTATTATTTAAAAAAATACGTAATAAAGTGTATTGTTTTGTCTATATATTATATTATGTCTGTATAAACAAATTTGCCAGAGGGCAGATCATACACGTACCTTTTTTAAGGGTTCTGATTTGGGAATTGATCCTGGACTGCTATCGTTTGATCTCACTGGGCTACGGTTGTTCTCATATATGAGGCTGGTTGATAAGTATGGTAGTTCGAAGTACCTTTTTCCCCCGCAAGGATATCCACAAAGCCACCTGGAGATCACCTGACCAACACACAGAAAACCAAATCGATCACGTTCTAATCGACGGGAAATTCTTCTCCGACATTATCAACGTCCGCACGTACCGCAGTGCGAACATAGATTCGGACTACTACCTAGTTGCTGTATGCATGCGCTCAAAACTTTCGACGGTTCATAACGCACGTCGAAGTCGAACGCCACGACCCAACATTGAGCAACTACGGAACACCGGAGTTGCCCAGGACTACGCGCAGCAGCTGGAAGTTGCACTACCCACGGAAGAGCAGCTTGGCGCAGCTTCTCTTGAAGATGGCTGGAGGGACATCCGTTCAGCCATAGGTAGTACTGCTGTAGCGGCACTAGGTACTGCAATCCCGGACCGAAGAAATGACTGGTTTGACGGCGAATGCAAACTGTTAGTAGAGGAGAAGAATGCAGCACGGGCGAGAATGCTGCAACACCGCACGAGATTGAATGTGGAGCGATACAGACAAGCGCGGAACAGACAAAACTCGGTTTTCCGAAGGAAGAAGCGTCAGCAGGAAGACCGAGATCGCGAGGCGATGGAAAATCTGTACCGCGTAAACGACACACGGAAGTTCTACGAGAAGCTAAATAGTTCGCGCAAAGGCTACGTGCCGCAAGCCGATATGTGCAAGGACTTGGACGGTAACCTTTTCACGAACGAGTGTGAGGTGATTGAGAGGTGGAAGCAGTACTATGACGAGCACCTCAACGGTGAAGCAGCAGAAAACGAAGGTGGCACGGCAACAGACCTTGGAGCACGCGCAGAAGACGACAGGCTACCGGCCCCTGATCTTCAAGAAGTTGAGGAGGAGATCGGTCGGCTGAAGAACAACAAAGCAACTGGTGTAGATCAACTACCAAGTGAGCTATTGAAATACGGTGGTGAAGCACTGGCTAGAGCGCTGCACTGGGTAATTGCCAAGATTTGGGAGGAGGAGATATTACCGGAGGAGTGGATGGAAGGTGTCGTATGCCCAATCTACAAAAAGGGCGACAAGTTGGATTGCTGCAACTACCGCGCGATCACACTGCTGAGCGCCGCCTACAAGGTACTCTCCCAAATTCTATGCCGCCGTCTGTCACCATATGCAAGAGAGTTCGTGGGGCAATACCAGGCGGGATTCATGGGTGCCCACGCTACCACGGACCAAATTTTCGCGATTCGGCAGGTTCTGCAGAAATGCCGCGAATACAACGTGCCCACACATCATTTGTTCATCGATTTCAAATCCGCATACGACACAATCGATCGAGATCAGCTATGGCAGATTATGCACGAGTACGGATTTCCGGATAAACTGACGCGATTGGTCAAGGCGACGATGGATCGAGTGATGTGCGTTGTTCGAGTATCGGGGACACTCTCGAGTCCCTTTGAATCTCGAAGGGGGTTACGGCAGGGTGATGGACTTTCGTGTCTGCTGTTCAACATTGCGTTAGAAGGTGTGATCAGAAGAGCTGGGATAGACACGAGTGGCACGATATTCAGGAAGTCCATCCAGCTCCTTGGTTTCGCCGATGACATTGACATTATGGCAAGGAACTTTGAGATGATGGCGGAAACGTACATCAGACTGAAGGCTGAAGCTAGACGGATTGGACTTGCCATCAACGCATCAAAGACAAAATACATGAAAGCAAGAGGCTCTAGGGAAGACAATGTTAGCCTCCCACCCCGAGTTCAAATTGACGGTGACGAAATCGAGGTGGTCGATGAGTTCGTGTATTTGGGCTCACTGGTGACCGCCGAAAATGATACCAGCAGAGAAATTCAAAGACGCATTATGGCAGGGAATCGTGCCTACTTTGGACTCCGGAGGACGCTCCGGTCGAATAAAATTCGCCGCCGCACGAAGTTGACTGTCTACAAGACGCTGATTAGACCGGTGGTCCTTTACGGCCACGAGACCTGGACTATGCTCGTGGAAGACCAACGCGCCCTTGGTGTTTTCGAACGGAAGGTGTTGCGTACCATCTACGGTGGAGTGCAGATGGATGACGGAACGTGGAGGAGGCGAATGAACCACGAATTGCACCAGCTGCTGGGAGAAGCATCCATCGTCCACATTGCAAAAAATGGGCGACTACGGTGGGCTGGGCACGTCGTAAGAATGCCGCACGACGACCCAGTGAAAATGGTTCTAGAAAGCGACTCAACAGGAACAAGAAGAAGAGGCGCGCAGCGGACAAGGTGGATCGACCAAGTAGAAGGTGACCTGCGGACCCTTCTAGAGTGGAGACGAATTCTTCGGACAGCAGAGGACTGGCGCTTTTGGTCCTAAGTTCATATGGGGATTTTGGTTGAAATGTAAGGAGAAATAACATTCTTTCACTCTGTCGTGCTTATAACTGGTTGAGCAAACTTGATTAAACTCAGAATTTCAGCACATGTAGCTTAAACTATAAGGAACAACTTTACTGAAGACAGCATCACGATTCAAGTTATTATTATGGAGATAGTCATTTTTGAATTTATGTGGGTTTTTTGTTCGATTTTGCAAAAAAAAACTCAGGCAGCTTATGCAACGTATAAACTAGATTTTTCTTTATTTAACGTCGGTTTCTGTTCCGGAATCTAGTGCCAATCACCGACGAACATCGATTGCCATCCATTGACGGCAATTGAATGCGCAGAAAGGCAGCTTCCACACCTGCGTAGGATATCGCACTTATTCAGCACACATGGGCCGGGACCAACGACTTTACTTCCCTTGCCTCAGAAAAATCCCACCGACCTCGGCTGAGATTGAACTCAGACCCATTGGGGTGAGAAAGCAGTCAAGCTTACCACTACACCACCGGCGCCGGCTTATCAACTTGATTACCACAAACAAATAAAGATTCATATTTTCCCCAGGCCAACATCCAGACTCATGTCAGTTGGTGAGATAACCACTCTCTGAATATTTCAGCTGTGTTTGACGTAGTCCGTGTGCTTTTGGTTTAATGTTTATGTAGGGGATTCGGTTGAAATTTTCATATACAAAATGCTCACATACATTCAAAAGCGAAAATCTTAATAAAACGAACCGGATCCATAATGCAGTCTTCCGCAAAGTTGATACTCATTGTTTGAACTACATGTTTTGAAAATCTGAATCAAATCAAGAATAAGGAAACTTTTTTATGATCGATAGGAGTGTCATTTTGTTCCCCATACACAATTCAAACTAAAAGCGCCAGTTCATCCTACAACCAAATGAGCTAAAATTTTCAGAGAATGGTATTCTCACCTATAGGCACAAATCTAGAGATTGGCCCGTGGAAAATTAGAACTTTTATGTTTGAGGACCAGTCTAGTCACCCATGTTAATGTATTTTGCTCATATCTCTGCCATTTTACGACCGATCTCCGATATTTGAAGGTCATTTAAAAGTTATTCACTAAAATTTTAATATATTAATACATTTTTAAAATTTTAGGTTTTAAATATTCAGCAGAGTTTTGGAAAATGTTGTAACTTTAAGAAAAGTTCTAGTATACAAAAATTGTAAATATTTTAAACTGTCAATACCTTTTAAATGACCTATAAAGATCGAAAATGGGTCCTAAAAAGGCTGAGATATGAGCAAAAACCATTTGCATGTTTTTTTAAGGGTGACCCCAAACTTATGATCGGAAGTAAATCTTCCGAGGAGACACCGATGAACATTTATTTGCGCTAGGTATACATCAGACTATCTTGCTGACAGTAGTCACAGACGATTGAGTTCATTACTGCACACTTTGGAACGCTGAAAATGAATTGATTGCGCCGCAACCATTCCACAAACACATCTAACAAATGAAGAGCTTTTAAGTGGGTTGAGCTACTTCCTTTTAATTCCGTTACAATTTCACGGCTTCACGATGGCCATATTCAAGAACTCGGAGCCACTTGTGTTGACATTCCGAACTGTGTCTGATAGCCATCACTTCGTGAGCTATCTTCAGGGTCGATAAGCTTTTGAAAACAAAAATGCTCGCCTTGCCAAACCAACAACACCAACATTGATATTGAAAATAATCGTGACTCCTTTCGATGTTTAGATTCTTTACGAAAATTTGTCGTTAAGGTTTGTAGATTTCTTTCTGGTTCTAACTAGTGGACAATTACGAAGATGATTTTTTTGGCCTAGTAGGTCAATACCAGCGAATAAAACGACTTACTCTTTACGCCCAAAAATGTCATAGACCATTGGAACGTTGGCCGTTGATAACATCAGTCGTTTAACATCACTGATGAACTGCCAAGTCGAAAATCTCTTTCTTTTAAGATTATCCCTCCCGCATCCTACTCACCAATATGAACATCGTAGTGAATGGGACTTTCCAGCTCCAGGATGGCAAGATCGTTCTCGAAGGTGGCCGCATCGTACTGCCGGTGCACAATGACCCGCTTGACGTTCTTCGTAACGGATCGTTTGGATTCCAGGTCACTCGAGATATCGAACTCTCCGAACACGGCTACCAGCGAGGCCAGGAAGCTGCAATCAAAGATCAAATTCGGAGTTAGGATTTGTCCCCGTTCGATCGAATCGAAGGCAATTACCCAGGCTGACAGTGAGCAGCCGTGATGACGTATTCGTTCGTAATCAACACACCGCCGCACTTGTTCTTGGTAAACAGACCGAGCCAAGTGGACTCCCGTACCAGCACCTGCCAAGGCCATTCGCCGAACTTGGCTGCCTTTCCTCCAACGACACGGGCACTCTTCATCAGTGGTCGCTGACCGCATACTTGATCGATGAAATGGAAAGTTGGAATCGAATGAAAAACAAACAAAGGAAATGCAGATTAGCTATAGTCCTTTCGGGGGAGAAAGCCAAGGGATTGAAATGGTGTTCATTACGTATTTTTCTTGGCGCTTGATCGTCGACCGTCTCGTTGGTCTCCTCGCCGACGTCCTCGTCTTCCTCTTCCTCCTCCACGACGTTCTCCTCCTCGTCAATGATTTCGTCTTCCGGGGCCGGTGTTGTAGTAGTGGTGGTGGTGGTGGTGGTCGTCGTCGGTCGCTTGGTGGTACGCTTCGTCGCCTATAAGAGCGATGGTGGTTTCTTGAACTGATAAAAGAGAGGAACACATTTTGCGCGGCTTGTCAGAAGCCCTACCGCCGGCACCGTCGTTGAGTCAGACTTACCTTGGTCGGTTTACGGGTGCTGGTCAGCGTCACTGGTTCGGTGTCGGCCAGTGTGGGTCGGCTGGTGGGCTTCTTGGCTGGCTTCTTCGAGGTCGATGTCCGGACTGGTTTCTTTGTGGTGGATGCAGATGGCTTGGACGCGGTGGTGGCTGGCTTTTCGTCGGCCGAGGGTTTTGAACTGCTCGTCGGTTTCGGACGGGTAGAGGCAGAACTGGAAGGTTTTGGCTTGGATGGTTTCGCTGGCTTCGTTGGGCTGGACAGGTCAACCGTTGTGACAACGGGTTTGGTCTGCGAAGAGGATGAAGTTGGTTTCGTCGAGTTGCTAGGGCGTTTAGTCTTGGTGGGTTTCTTGGATGGCTTAGAGACCGGTTTCGTGGAGGTTGCGGTGCCATATGTAGATTGCGGGGCCGAATCCTGCTGAATGACGGTTGGTTTGGTGGTGGATGGTTTCTTGATAGTAGTGGACGAAGTCGATGTGGAGTTGGAGGGCTTCTTGCTACCACTTGGACGCTTCTTCTTCTTCTTGGTCACTGGCCTGCTGGTAGAGCTTGTAGTCTTGATCTTTTCGGTAGTGGTAGTGGTGGTGGTAGTTGCTTCAGTCGTGGTATGTGAGTACGTAAGGTTCCTGCGCTCTTTTAGGATCGCCTCCAGTTCTTCGAAGTTTCCGTTGAATGATTCCACAATCTTGTTAACCAGTAAATTGACCTTTTCATCATCTTTGATGCCGGAGAAGTGATCGTTTTCGATTTTGGTGATGTTGGTCATCATGGTTGAGTCCGTCATGTTGAAACTGGGGTTTCTAACCGGGGGGAAGTTGTTGATGTCGTCCGGTGTTGTATAGAGTTCGTTCTTGATGGTGGACGATTCGATAGCCTGGGCGATGTAAATGTGAGTGGGCTGTTGATTCGGTGGAATGCGGTTAACTGTTTGATACGTTGGAGAGGATGGTCCATATGGAGAGTAGGTTGACGAGGCAATATGACCGAGTACGTTGTTGGTATCGACGATCGTGTAGATAGCGGTGGATGATAGAGTCGGAGCAGCTCCAGGTCGCTTTGTTACTCCAAAGTAGCCCTCATCGGCAAAGTCTGCAAGGGACGAAACGTAGACTGGAGGTGGAGTATTATCGTAATAGCCTGGACGTTGGTTGCTGCTGATAGGGCTGGTCAGCTTGTTATTGTTGTTGTTGTTGTTGTTCTGGTTCCAGGTGCTAGAGGTAACGAGTCCTGGAACGGGTTTCGGCGTAATGTGAACGGTTGGCGATGGGTGGTCAGATGCACTGGCAATGTGGACGTAGTTGACGTTGGTCAGGGTGGCTGGTGATTGATGGGAAAGTGTCGATGACTGGATAATGTATTCGGGCAGCTTGATGGTAGTTGACACTGGGCGCTTCGTTGGATGAGTGGTCACTTTCTTAGTGGGTTGAACAGAAGAGACTGCAACAGGCGCTGCAGTTGATGCAGCAGTGTAGTATCCTGATGGGACGGCATGCTCTCCTTCGCTTGTGATGAGTACCGGTCGTTTGTTTCCGCTGCCGGCTGTGACAACAAGTTTGTTTGGTGGTGGACGAACGGTTGATACGGAGATAGCTGGATCTTTTTGAGTCACAGCTGTCGTTCCGTATCCGCTCGTCAGTAAGGTAGCTTGGACTACAACCGGTTCCAGAATGGGCCGTCTCGTAGGCTTTGGACTGTACACATAGCTGGTCGAAGGGACCTTAGTGGATAGTGAGGTAGTTGGAGGACTCGTCTTCAGTGGTTTGGTGATGTAGAAACTGGTCGGTCCGTACTTATCGTAATCGATCGAAGACGTCGCATAGGACGCCTGCGATGTGGTCTCTGGTGCCTGCGTTGGGAAAGTCTCGGTCACATTGTCCTGTTTGGTGTCCGAGTCCGTGTCGTACTGTGGTCCAAGGTTGGTTTCGTTCAACATTAATATGATCGATTCGATCGAGTGAATGTTGTTGACGGAGACCGTTGGTTTTGTGGTATGGTTCTCGCTGTCTTTGGAGTTACTAGAAATAGTATGTACAAGTACGTAGTTGTTTGGGTCGGTTGCTTGAGTTGGCTTAGGTTTAGGTTTGAACTGAGGTTTTGGGTGGATAATTTTCACAGGTTTTTCTGTGGTCAGCACCTCCGTAACGATTTCCTGGTTGTTGAAATCGCTGGGATTGGCATAGCTCTGGTCGACGGCTCCGTTTTCGTTGAACAAGTCGGTTTCAGCTTCTGGGTGGGTGATGTCACTATGATCGAATAACTGGTTCTCCTGGTAGATCTGGTTGGCAATGATTTGAACTCCACTCGAGGTGATGTCTGTGCTGGATTCAACATAGGAAGCTGGAGCCGTGTTAGCATCTGCAAAATGTTCGTTGTACATGTTCAACGATGACGGGATCTCCGAACTGTAGACGTTATTGTGGTTATCGATCTGTACGTAGCTAACTTCATTTCGGACCGGAGGTGGCGGGATGGTTGTTCCAATCTCGATTTCTTCCGATTTGATATTTGAAGTGGATGGCGAGTACACGGATACTGCACTATTTGACAGTTCGTACTTATGAGAATTCAAACTACTCTGAACGATATCGTCATCCAGGTCGTCATTTGTAATGTAGTTGTTTTCGAGTTTATTGAACAACGGCTTCTCGCTGGAAACAGCACTTGGCATGCTTCCGGCACTTCCGGTTAAATCACTGCTCTCTTTGATTGGATTTTCAAGCTTGATTGGTTCGTAATTGATGATCGGTCCGTATCCAGTTCCCGAACCGGTCAGTTGGCTTCCAAACTTTTCGTACTGACTGGCAATAGCAGAGCTGAGCGATGACTGGGATGTGGTTTCTGCATAATCCGTATAGTTGTACTGGTCCAGCAGCGATTCCGTGATCATTGCGATATCGTTCGTCAGGGGAAGCTCACAGCAGGTTCCAAACAGGAATCCATCCATACAGGCTCCCACCACTTCTCCCTGCCGTTGGAAGCACTCGTGGTTAAACATGCAGATCGTCGGTCCCCGTCGGTCAGAATCTCGCTTCAGCAGTGACCTTGTGGCGTTGCAGAACTTTGGCGTTATCCGGTAGCCTCCGAAGAGCTTTCGACTTTCTGAAACGGAACACAAGAATAGAAGAGGTTGTATTAGATTTCAATTACCGTAACAAATTGAATCAAGCTGAGATGAAAATTACCCTCCAACCAGCCAACGACTAAACTTAAAATGCTTTATCAATCTTGCTGCTACCCACTTGCTCCATTGGTGGGCTTACGGAGGCTCGAGACTCGTTCAAATTTAATTCTATTTCGGGCGGCTTCTTGTGCCAACCTTCCACTCTTTTCTTTTTTTTTTTTGTTCAACGATGCTTCGGCTCCAACAAAATTCGCGAAATGGCAAAGCGGATGGGATAAACGTGCCACGAATTTAAAACTGGAGCATACTCCTGGCTAGGAACAACTGAATAGGGATATAAACATTTCGTAGAAAGTTGAGAAATCAGATTTTCAAAAAAAAAAAAAAAACAAAGATCAGGGAATCATAAAATCGGATAAATTGGAAATTCACAAAATCACAAATTCAAAATTTCAAAATCAGCAAATTGGAAAATCGGACAATCATAATAACAAAATATGTCAAATTCGGAAAATCACAAAATCGGAAAACATGAAACTAGGGAACTCAGCTCATTAAAATATTATTAAATCGAGAAATCAAACAATACGATAATCAGAAAATTTTAAAATCAATTGACCAGAACATCACAAATTCAGAAAATCTCAAAATGAGTAAACAAGCAGTTTAAAAAAAGCATACAATTGAAACATCAAAATATGAATCGATCGAAAAATCGTCAGTAAAATTAAACAAACAGAAATTCAGAAAATCTAAAAATCAGAAAATCAGAAATTCATATAATGAGAAAATAAGAAAATCAGAAAATAAATAAATCAGATAATCAGAATATCAGAAAATTGAACGATCTGAAAATCACAAAATTTAAGAATCTAATAATCGAAAAGTCAGAAAAAAATAAAATTACAAAAACATATTATTAGAAGATCAGCAAATCAAATAACCAGCTCTTTAAAAGAAAGCAAACTGGAAGATGTTGAGACAAGCAATTAAAAAAAACGTAACATCGAAACAACACAATATTAAACGATCATCGAATAGGAAAAATTAGCAAAATCAAAAAACGAAATGGTACGGAAAATCTGAAAATCATAAATCCGAAATATTGGAAAATCAAATAATCGGCAAATAAGAAAATCCTAATAACAGCAAATAATCACAAAATCAGAAAACAAGAAATCCAAAAATACAAAAATTAAATTAAAACAGAAATTCACAAAAAAAATAGAGAATTACAAATTTAATCATTATCATTAAATCAGAAATGGGAATCAGAAAAGCTGAAAATCAGAATATTAAAAAATCAGAAAATGAGAATCAGATATTCAGGAGATTAGAAATTCAAAAAGTGAGAAAATCATAAAATCAGAGCATCAGAAAATTAGAAAATCTGAAAGTTAAAACAACTGCTTGAAAATCTAATAATCTGAAGAAAAGGAAATCAGAAAATAGAAAATCAGATCACTTGAAAATCTCAAAATCAGGGAAAAATTGAAAAAAAGGGGACATCAATGTATAATAACATATAAAATGATCACCAAATAAACACCGATAATCAGAAAAAAATAATGGAAATATCAGGAACTCAAAAAATTAAAAATTTACTTTTAAATCGGGGATCAGAAATTAAGATCATCAAAAAATCAGATATTGAAAAAATCCGAAAATCCCAAAATCAGAAAGCTTGAAAATAAAATAGCTAATAAGTTGGAAATCTCAAAATCATTTTTCAGAAATTCAGCTTCAAATAGATTTTCTTATATTTTGTAAATCTTATTTTTTGTTAATCTTATTTTTTGTTAATCTTATTTTTCGTTAATCTTATTTTTGATTTCTGATTTTCTGATTCCTGATTCTCTGATTGCTGAATATCTGATTTCTGATTCTGATTTTCTGATTTTCTGATTTTCTGATTTTTGATTTTCCGGTTTTTTATTTTCTGATTTTCTTCTGATAATCTCTATTTATTTTATATTCTGATCAGATAATTAGAAAATCAGAAACCCAAAATATCAGTAAACAAAAATTAAAAAAAAAAACATAAATCATAAAAATATCAAAAGATCGAAATTTCAAAAGAATAAAATAAAAGCAGAAAATACGAAATTTATAAAATAGGAAAATCAGAAATCAGAAAATAAGAAAATAAAAAACCAGCAAATCAAAAAAATCACCTGCTCCCGCTCCTCCCCTTTTCTTATCCTCTGACAATGTACCCCTCTAACCTCCGGTAAGCCGCGAGTATTCGGCCCAACTCCTACTAGACATAGAATTAAGGGAATTTTGTTACAAACAAAGAACAATGAATTATCGGCTCCGTAAAGCTTACGCGATTGAGTCTTACAAACGAACTAGATAAAAAAAAAATCAAAAAATCAAAGAATAAGTCAGAAAATCAGAACATCAGAAAGCCGGCAAATCAGACAATTGCCAAATCGGACAACAACTAAAAACACAGAACATGAAAATATTGAAATATCTTAAGTTCAAACAACCCATGAATAAATAACAGAAAATTATTAAATCAGAAAATCGGAAAATGAGACAATAAGAAAATAAGAAGCAGAAAATCGGAGAATCAAGAAATAAGCAAATTTAAAATCAGCAAATCAGCAATCAGGAAACCAGAAAATCAAAAAAAATCTGAAAATCTGGAAATCAAAAAATGAGATAGTTTAAAAAGAAAATAAAAAATCTCGAAAATTTAAAAATTTAAAATCAGATAATCTGAAAGCCATAAAATAAATTGGAAATTCAAATTTAATCCAGAAAATCAGAAAATCGGAAAATTGAAGAAACAGAAAATCTGAAAATCAGACTATCAGATCACAGAAAATCAGAAATAAATATGATCATTAGAAAATTCTCAAATAATAATATCAGAAGATCAGGAATTTAGAAAATCAGAGTATCAATTCAAAAAATCATAACCAGAAAATCAAATAATCAGACAATCAGAAAGTTTGAAAATCAAATAACCAAACAATCGTAAAATCTGAAAATCAATTTTCATAGTTTAAGGTTAGTCGGTTCTCAATTTTTTTTTAAATCTGGTAATCTGATTAGCTGATTTTCTGATTTTTTGGTTTGTCGATTTGTTGATTTTCTGATTATCTTTATTTATTTTATTTTTCGATAAGGTAATAAAAAAATCAACAATTCTTAAAATAAGTTAACAAGAAATTAAAAAAAATACCAAAGCATCACAATATCAAAAGATCAAAAAATAAAATTAAATCAGAAAATAAGAATGTCCTAAATCAGAAAATCACAAACTAAAAATGAGAAAATCAGAAAATCAAACAATTATTAAGTCAGAAAATTCGAAAATCAGCAAGAAATCAGAAAATTGCAAAGTCGGACAAAAAAAAAACAGATCATAAAAATATAAATATATCTGCAGATCAAACAATTGAAAATTCTACTAATACAGAAAATTATAAAATCAGAAAATCCGAAAATGAGAAAACCAGAAAGTGAGAAGCAGATTATCAGAAAATCAGGATCAAGAAACCACAAAATCAGAAAATCAGAAAATCAGAAAATCAGAAAATCTGAAAATTAGAAAAAACAGAAAATTTTAAAATAAGAAAATCAGAAAACCAGATCATTAGATCTAAGAAAATACTAAACACATGAGATCATCAGGAAATCTGAATATAAGAAAATCGTCGAATAAAAAAATTAGAATATCGGAATTTAAAAACAAAAAATCAGAAAAACAAAAAATCACAAAATCTGATAGTAAATTTATTAGAAAATCAGAAAATCAGAAAATCAGAAAATCAAATAATCGGCAAATTTGAAAATCAGACAATTAGAAAATCAGACAATTAGAAAATCAGGAAACCAGAAATATGAAAATCAAACACAGCAGAAATTTGCTTGTTAGTTGGACCTCCGCTGGTTGGGGCATGACCCAATTAAAATCAACTGCATGTCGAAATCTCATGTCAAATTAGATTTGACAATCAAACAGAAAAACCCTCCAAAGGGTAAACATATGTATTTTGAACTGCACGATAAATGTAATGCATGAAAACATACAGCACTGGTTCGAAACATTTGAAACTCTAGAACAGAGCAACAAATATATTGAGCATATCAGTGTTTTGCTTTGTCCACTCAGCTTCAAGCAACTAACTTCAATCTGAAGTGTTTTTTTTTAATCATCAAAACCACAACAAATGATGCGCAAATCTCCCGACAATCTTTAGCCTTCTGTCAGTTGACACAACGAACGAACCGAATTCGTTAGTTTGGCCGGAGTGAATTTCGACTGTAATCAGATAATCAGAAAATCTGAAAACAATTAAATCAGAAAATCAGAACAAATAAGGTCATCAGATAATGAAAATATTAGACAATCAAAAAATTAGAACATCAGAAGATCCGGAAATCAAAAATCGGTAAGTCAGCAAATTAGGAAATCAGAGAATCAGAAAATCAGAAAAAATATCGGAAAATAAAAAAATAAATAAACAGAAAATTAAACAAAATCAGAACATATGTAAATCAGAAGCAAATAAGATCGCCAGAAATTGAGCATATTGGAAAATCAGATAAAAAAACAGAAAATCAGAAATACAGAAAATCGAAAAATCGGAAAATCAGGAATTCGAAAAACCAGAAAATCAGACAACCAAAATATTAGGAATTCAGAAAACCATAAATTCAGAATATCAGATAATTAGCAACCATAAAATCAAACGATCTGAAAATCAGCAAATCAGAAAACAAGAATTTAAAAACAAAATCAAAATATCACAACATCAAAACTTTAAAAAATCGGAAAAAAAACAGATAATCAGAAATCAAGTAGATGAAATCATAAAATCAGATAAATGTTAATCAGAAAATCAGAAGATCAGAAAGTCAGAATATAAAAAAAATCTGAAATTCAGAAAAATGAAAATCAGAAAATCAAAAACCTGAAATACATAAAATCAGAAAAAAATCTGTGAAAATAAACATTAAA